GGGAAAAAAGGCTTGGCTGGCAACCAGGGCAAAGTTTCCCAACAACTCTGTAAGGCTGTAAAAAAACTGCTCTAAGGCAAACACAAGCAGAAAAGTACATCAAGTACATCTAACAGAAACTTTTCTGAATGCACAGCTCAGCATTCACTGACTGGAATGAGCTCTCCAAACACTTCCTCTCAATCTCCAAATTCAGAAAGGCCACTACAATGACAAAGCACGTTACAAATTAGCATCCTCTTGTCCTTCAAAGTGACCTCTACCAGAAAACGGTCAGTAATTCCCTCTGCTTTGCATTCATTCATGTCTTCACCACGTGTGAAAAATAGATAAACCTGGATTCTTTCTAAAAGGAAACTTTTTTTGTCAGCTGTGTGGCATTCCAGCCAACCTTACAGCTGGGATTTCTTACACAAAATGAACTAGAAATGGATAAAATATCATGTTAACTGTAGCATGACCTATAATGCCATCACTGCAGCTGTAACACAAATATAACTGCAGTCACTGCAGCTGTCATTCTGTAGGACGCCATAAGGCAACTGACAGACCCGGTAAAGACACGAGACGTTGTTAAAGCAAGTCAAAAACATAAGGCAAAGAGAACCATAAGTTACCACAGCATATAATCAGCATCCACCGTGCCAAAGTTTGTCCTTTCAAAACAACACTTAGAACACTTTGCAGCTTGGAACTCCAGACATTTCCCTTTCATTTTCAAAAGGTGGGAAAATACATCCCCCAGGTAAGAAAGTAGTCAAAACTTGTTAAGCATCACCACCAATACACTCCGTACAGAAGCAGCCTCACCCTGCCCGCCTCAGCGCTTTCCCTGGCTGGGCACACAGGCTCTGCCCGCTGCGGCCGTCAGCCTAACGACCACGGGAGCAGAACGGGACTCAGCCTCGGCCCGGCTGTGCCCCACTCGGCCGCGGCCTCTTCGGCGCGGCCCGCCCCACGGCTTCCCGCCCGCCGCCAGAAGAACGGCCCGCCCCGCACCGCCCGCGGACGCCTCTCCATCCCTCGAGCCGCGCCGCCCCCGCGCCTCAGGGAGAGCCGCACCGAGTGACACTGGGAGGACGCCGCCGCGCACCTTCTTGCCTGCAGTAGGACATGGCGGAGCCGCCCGCTGCCTTCCCGCTCAGTGCGCCCGCAGATCGGCTCCGCCGCCGTCCCGCGTCCTTCCCGCCCGCCCCGCTCCTCCTCCAGCACTGCCGCGGTGCCTCGCAGCTCCACGCCGTGACCTCTGACCTCCGGAAGCACACGCAGTGACCCCTGACATCCGGAAGCGGACGCCCTGACCTCCTGCTCCCGCTGCCGCACGGCCTCTCCGAGGCGGGAAAGGAGCAGCCAATCCGGGCAGAGCGCGCCTCGTCGCCGGACTACACCTCCCGGCGTGCCTTGCGCGCGCCGCTTGAGAACTACGTGTCCCGGCGTGCACCGCGGCAGCGGCGGAGCGGGGAGAGCTTGAGGGGAGGCGGCTGTGGGTGTGGCAGGTAGTGAGCGGTTGTAGCCGGCGGACACTCCGGACTGCTGAAGCAAAGATGTCGAGGAATGTAAGTTAGAGCGCAGCGTGTGGCGGGCTGCCCGTTCCCGTTGTCCCGTTGCCTGAGGCGGGGTGCCCCGAGCGGCTGTCAGGTCCCGCGCGGCTCCTGCAGAGCGGCCTCACCTCCTGCCCTCGCTTGCCGTTACTGCTTGGCTGTCCGCAGAGCTCTGGTTCGCCTCACACCCTGTGGTGTTGGTTCTCTAACGTGGCAGCGCCCAGGGCAGCGGCGGTTTGTTCTGAGATCTCTTCTCGTACCCCGAGGTGCAGTTATTGTATGGTGTGCTGGCACTTGGAAATGAAACGTGTTATTTATAGCTATGCTGTAGCTGGTCTGGAATTTGGGAGTATTACTCAGTTTGTCACTGGGTGTGGATACCAAATAGAAAACGTAGAGACGGACTGAAAGACGTGTGAAGAGATGTGCTGAGCTGCTGTTATAGCTGTTGTTTTCCTCTGTTAAGGTTTATTTATCGACTGTATTTCTGATATCGGAATTGTAGCAAGGCATTTAATAAGTGCGGGGAGGTTTAGGCCCACTGCAAGTGGTGCACTTTGGCAAAGGTAAAAAGTTTGTTCTGAAACACACTGTCCCCTTTAATACCGATGTTACATTTTTGGTTTATCTCCAACAGTTCTCTGATACAGGAAGCAAAAAAGAACATGTCAAAATCACAAGTGAGGCCAAGCCAGGGTTCCTGGAGAGGCTCAGCGAGACTTCTGGAGGCATGCTCATAGGACTTGGGACATTTCTTCTGTCCTTCTACCTTCTTTTTACCAATGAAGTAAGTGAAATACTATCGGTGTTTATACACAGCTATAAAATGGTAATGCCAAGGTGGCATTCAACTAGTTTTGCATGTATGGGGTCACAGAAATGGTCGTGCTGAAGTTTTATTACTTCATCAGTGGAAAGAGAGCAATGTGCCTGGAGAGGCTGATGCTTATGCTTGGGATGTAAGAATGAAATCACAGAACCTCAGATGTTTTTGCTGTGGAACAGCATGTGATAGAAACAGTGGCTGTGATGACAATTAAGATCCCAAACCTATGGACTCCTGAGGAAACAGACTGTAGTGCTATTGAAAGAAGCTGAATGAGCCTGCCATGTTCAGTTCTTCTGTCTCTATCTTGAGATAACACAGAGAACTCATTTCTAGAGCTGTTAGAATTTTGCTAAAGGAATTCATATTCAGTGTTGCAAAAGTGAGGGTGTTAATTAATTTCATTGTTACTTTATTTTGGTTTTGGACTTGGAGGAGAGAGAATGGTGAACTGCAAGTGTGTTTTCAGATTATGCCTTGAAGAAAAACATCTGAGAAGTCCTTGGGGTCTGCAGACCACTTGTCTTCTACCATTTTCACAAGATAATGTCATGCCATTGATTCTCCACAACTTGTTCTTGCTTTCGTTGACTACAGGGACGAGCTTTGAGGACAGCTAAATCTCTTGATGAGGGACTTTCTCTTGTGATCCCTCTTGACAGCATTCACAGCGTGTCTCAACAGAACGAGGGGAGTCTGGTGCACTTATCTGGTGCTCTGAGCACAGCAAAGGTAAATAAAACTAGCATCTTGGATATGGGAGAATTTCAAGTTTGGAGGGATTGGAGAGTTGATATGCTCACTAATTCCTACTGACTTGTGTTTTCTTTATATTTCCAATAGCCTTTGTTTGATCCCAGCTATGGGCTGTCCGTCCAGGCTGTCAAGCTTAAGCGCAAAGTGGAAATGTACCAGTGGGTAGAATATGAAGATTCCAGGTAAGTGAAACAGATCTTTAAAGGTTGTTTACAGGAATGTTGTATTAACAGGGTCAATTGAAATGTGTGTATTCTGCATTGAGCTGGTGCTTGTGTGTGCTATTTTGCTTCTCACTTCACCCTTTTTCTTTGCAGGGAGTATGAAGAAAACGGTGAGATCAAGAAAGAGACAAAGTATTCATACAGTAAGTTGATCGACAGAAAATCCTTTAGTTTTTAAGCCTGTAACTTTGGGCTGTATATCTATCTTGATTTTGTTTTAAAATGTCTATTTTTTTGTTGGGAAAGAAAACTATATAAAGAAATAAGCAAAGATTCTGTTTGCTAAGCGAATGGCAGCGTGTTGAGAGTTTTAGTGTTCATGTGAGCTAATGAAAACCTGCACCTTCTGATGTGTGTTGTGGCATTTGGCAAATGCTTTTCTGGCAGGAGGAGAACTGGAAGGATAGTTCTAATCTACCTGATGGTGGAAAAATACTCTGAGTCACTGTATCTCTGGAGCTTATTCTCTGCTTTATTTATCCACAGCTAAAGCCTAAGGACATGTATGTGGGTGTGCAGTGATTTCTGGGTGTGATCATAAGAATACTCCAGCTCAGTGAAGCATGAGACCCTGCAGCACAGAGATAGCTAAGGAGCAAAGCTAGTGGTGGGCGTGAGCTGTGAGGAACAGCCATTAAAGAAAAGAACCAAAAATGCTCTCAGAATTGATGGATTCTGTCCAGTTGAAGTTTGTATATTACCAGGTGTTGTAGGTTGGCCTTGACTGGCAGCCAAACAGCACACAGCTGGTAGCTCATTTCAAATGCAGAAGGACTGGAGGAGACAATAGGAAGAAGAACAAGAGCTTGTGAAGTCAGACAGGGAGGTCTCTTACCATCGTGGGCAAAACAAGCTTGTTTTGGGGAGAGTTAACAACATACTGTCAACAAAATTAAATACTTAATTAATGATTTGGGTAGTAGCAAAACACAGTTACTCCCACTGCTTCTAGGCTCAGATTCACTTCAGACTTCTCTGTCCTTGTTACTGCTTCAGGTTACACTTGGTGCCTTAAGTGAGGCAAGGAGCAGCGTGGGTGTGGGTTTACAGTCTGTCTGCTACTCTTTACTCCTCATGCTTCTTTCCTACTCCAGTGTGGGGAGGCCACAGATGCCACCCCTGCAGCCCTCCCCACAGGTACCAGAATCTTGACACATAAACCTGGTACACTAGAATATCCTTTACAATGATCCCCACTCTAGTGTTTAGCCAAACTCCCTTCCTTCCTCTCTTCTTCTCTATGGAAGCGTAGAGTGTTGTATTTAGTACAGAGACTGCTCAAAAAAAGGGACTCTAGTTTTGTAGGGGTTGCAAGAAACCTACTTATAGGTATAAGGTACTACTTATAAGGAATGTGTTCTGGGGGTGTGGAGAGGCTGCTGTGGCTTGAGTGAAGGCATTGCTATGCATCTGTGACAGTGGCATGTACAGGTATCTTCTCTGTTTTACTTGACTGCACTAAAATCTGCTAGTTCTAGCAGAAATCCCAGCTTTTCCTTGCTTGCTCCCAAAGTGAGAAGCTAGGAATTGAAGCCTGATCAGGGAAGGTGCCAACAGCAAGCTTCCCTCCATACAAAGCTGAGTTAGAATTTTTAAAGTCCTTTTTTTTTTTTTTTTTCCCCTAAGTCCTTCCATTTGTTGTTAATATATTGGGAGATCAGATTTAAGTATCATTATAGACTATCCCATTATGTACCTTGATGTAAAAAAAAAAAAAAAAAAAGGGTAATTTGGAACTGATCCATTGATTTAGAGGTGTCATAAGTAACTAGATCTGAGTGGCAGTTATTGCTCTCTTTTCAACCTTCATATCATTTTCCTTAGATACTGAATGGAAATCCGAAGTTGTGAACAGCAGGAATTTTGATCGAGAAATAGGACACAAAAATCCTAGGTAATTTACCACCTAGCACAGTCCCTCTAGATTCTGTCGATGTATCCAATTGATGATGAGAACTCAATGATAAATCTTCATGTCATAGTAAAGTAGATGGAAACTCTGTCTTTTTGTAGTTGGGAGAAATTAGGTTTAGACAGCAGTTCAAAGCTGCCTAATGGAGCCAGAATCCAATATTCCTGATGGAATGCTGCTCGTTAGTTATGGCTTACATCAGGTTGCTATTTTACTGCTGAACCATGTCGATTGCATATGGGAGAACTGAATGGATTTCTTTTTGACTTTGTCTGCTTCTAGTTCTTCTATTAAAAAGAGTGAGAATAGCAAGCATCCCACAAGCTTGCCATGCTGCTCTTTTAAGCTAGCACGTATGAACTTAGGTTTATTTATAGCAATTGCCCACATATAATCAGTTTTGTATTTCTCTCAGCTGCAGCATTTTAATTATGCTACAGTGTGCCATTTTTAGCATTAAGTTTTAGCTTGCTTACCATTCTCACAGTACATGTTTGGTTCCTTAGGATGCAGGATACCACTTGTCAAAAAAAACCCAAACAGGACTTAAATGAAACTTAGAACTCCAGCTAATGTCCAGAACTTTATTTTGGTACTGTGAGCTAATCTGAATAAACCCGTTATTTGGAAGTTTTACCTTGAGAAGAAAAGTGAAGACCTGTATTTTTAGTTATAGATCCCAAGTAACATAGAGCTGTTAAGATGAGAGGATGCAAAAAGGATGCACAGATGGCAAACCTTGTCTCTCTTCTCCAAACACATTTTTTTTGCTAATGAAATTTTTCTCCAAGCCTTCTCCAGTAAATCCAAATTTATACTTGAATGTAGGGAATATTTTTTTATTAGTACTATTGCAATACATCATTAAAAAGTGCCACATCTAAGTGCAGTTCCACTAATTATAGTGATACAAACCTAAGAGTCTAACTGTGGTGGACCCTGCCTGAAACAGAACTGCATATGCAGACATGCTGAACTTTAGAACTCATACATAGCATTAATGAGACTATTTTAAGTGTGTGCTGCACATCTTCTTCCTTCTGCCCATCCGTCTAATCTGTTTATGTGACTTAGACAATTTTGAATATAAAATCTGTTATTTACTGCCAAGGACAATCCAGTAGGACTGCTTATGAAAATGAAGTCAAGTCTGTAAGGAAAGGAATCCAGAATTGGGAAGTTAGTTTCATGGCCACAATGTAGAGGTATCCTTATTTGGATATGGTTTATGATCTAGATTTCTTTAGCAGATAAGTTAAATATTGCAAGTATTCATCTGGGAATGCGATTAATTCATTGTCACTCAAAAAACATAGGGTCAGTACAGAAAAAGCTAGTGAATTCCTAGGGTGTGAATCGAAAGTTAGCCTGGGTGATGAGATGGTCATATCTTGACCTAACTTATTTCAATGGTTCCAACACTATAAAGTCAGGATGCAATTTCTTGATACGTTTGTTCTCACATTCATTTAGTTCTTTGAGTTTAATCCTGATGTTTGACACAGTACCTTTTATGTGCTTTATATTAAATACTGTAAAGCAGTTGTTTGATCATAAGCACAGAACTAATCAGGAGCTCTTTCTGTTCCCCAGTGCGATGGCTGTGGAGTCCTTTACTGCTGTTTCTCCTAATGTCCAGGTTGGCAGCTTTGTCCTTTCCAAAGGTAAGAATTGCTTTGTGCTGACTTTGCGTTGTTTGTTCCAATAGCTGCAAACTTCACTTATTTCTACAGTGGTGATTGTTACAAGTGATAATCGGGAAGCCAGCCTACAGATTGGCTGTTAAACACCAGACCTGAGCATGGCTCTTTGTTCTGCTTAGGTCTTGTGGATAAGATTGATGACTTCAAGCAGCTCAGCTTGGCACACCTTGAGGATCCACATGCTGATGTTACCCGGGGAGGAGATTATTTTTACCACAGCGAGAACCCCAGGCGTCCAGAAGTAAGATGAGAAAGATAAAACCAAAGCAGCAATTACTATTGTGTGAAAAAAGAGTGCTGGGGTATGTCCCATTTCTTTTTAAACATGTAGAAATTGGAGTGCAGAGCATCGCCAGGACAGAACTATTAGTATGAGTGACTTCCTTGCAGGAAGCTTCTGATCCTGCTTGCATCTTCATTTTCTGTGTGGTTTTTTTTTGTTTGTTTGTCATGTTTTTAGATGGAACAACATTGGATGATGTTGGGAGATGGTTTCTACTTCTGCATTACTGAGTACAAAGTTTGTTGCCAGTTAGTGCTGCCTGCCCTTCTTTGCCAAAAAATGAAATTGCAAGGGATGAACGTGGGATCTATTTGATGTTAATGTGTTCCAGCACCTAAATCAGAGAGGATATTGCAAAGAAACATTCCAGCTGTCTTGTTTTGGCTATCAACTAGGCCCCAAAAAAATGCAGGCTGGCAGTCTTACATGGTATCCTTTGGCTTGCCATGAATGCTTAAGAAAAGTGATGATACAAAGAGTGTTTTCTTTCCTGTGATTCTCCTTTGTAAAGAAAACTCTGTTGATTTCCAATATTATCCTTACTTGTAGGTGGGAGACCTTCGTGTCTCATTCTTCTACGCTGGTCTAAGTGGACATGACCCCCACCTGGGCTCACCTGATAAGGTAGATCTTCAGCTACTTGTGTTATCCAAGTTCTGTCCCCAACTCAGTAACCAGTAAGATTCTTTCCCTTCCAAGGTGACTGTTATTGCTCGGCAGAAAGGTGATCAACTCGTTCCATATCACACCAAGTCTGGAGATGTTCTCCAGATGCTCTACTCTGGGGATCTCTCTGTCGAGGTAAGGTATCACATTCTATCAGTAAAAGGTTGAAATTGCAGATGGTAATGCAGAAGCAGCAGTGAAATAAGCTTTAATTCTCCTTCAGGTCTGTTACAGAGGAGGAGATGTAAACTTTGGCTTTTGTCTGTGCTATGTCTAGGTCAAAGCATTATAGCCTGTGTTTTTCTTCCCAGTCTCTGCATGTTTTTGTATTGCTGCAAAATGCTGTACTTCACTGTTAGCAGTATTTAATTTGACTATAGTTACTTCTGTTCTTTCTTCCCTTTTTAGAAGTAGCTATGGTTAAAGTAACTCTATTAAAAAAATAAGTCAGCTTGTGTTTCTGCTATTGAACATCATTTGCTCTAAGAACTGTTCCTGTGCCTTCTCATTTTGGTTTGATTTTTGGTAGCTTTCGACTTGCTCACACACACAGACACATGCTTTTGAAAAGGTTATACACGAAAACAGTAAAAATCAGGCTTTAATTAAACAAATTGTAGGAGCTATCCTCTCTTCAGCCTCTCTTAACAGGGAGTTTAGGCTTGTTTGAAATGTTTATTGCTACTCTGACTGAGAAAGAACCTTCAGGCAGTGCGTAATGTTCCAATAAATCCTGCATGCTCAGGCAATTTGGTGATTCATTGACTCCTTCTAGTAGGTTGATTTCCATTAATGATTCCTTTGTGCCCTGCTGTAGAAGTCCCAGGTGTCAGGAATGTACAGTATCTGCCAAAAGCAGACAAAAAGGCTTTATTTTTTTTCCGAGTTGAAAGGGAGCAGCAGTAGAATCAGCTCTCTGCTGTGAGCTCTGAACCTTCATTAATTACAATTTAATTTCATTGGAAATGAACTAAAAATGAATAAATTATAGAGTCCTTAGGCATACAAGTTGTCAATCAGTCATTTCTGTATCTTTCCCGTGGGTGTTTTATTATTTCTTGGCCACCTTCATGTGTATTTTTTATATAGGAAGAGGGGCATTCTTGCAAATAGGTGCTTTAAGTTGGTGAAATATACACATGCCATTTTGTCTTTGCTTTCCTGCACACTGCTTGTTTTCTTACATGCACCTTTCCTTCAGCCATCAGTGAATCTTGTTGCCTTTTCTGTTTTGCTGCAAAGTAATAAAATCAGGTGTTTCTTTCATGTTACGTGTACTTACTGCTGTCTTATTTTCCACAATAATGAGCACTGAAACCTATGCTTTCTGCTGTGATTGCAGAGAGTGCCTGAGGGTGCGTGTTTTGCTATCTTAATTTAGACAAATGCAGGTTTCCTTTGTGCTGCACTTTGAAATCTTGTGTAGTGTGCTTGGATATTGATGTAAAAAAGGCCCTGAGGAATGAGCTGCAATGTATCTTCTACTGTTGGCTCTGACTTGCTTTCATAATGTACTGGAAAGAGATGGATCTCACGAGAACTTAAGTATCATTATGTGCACCCTGTTACTTGTTTTCAGGAGGTGTTTCAGAAGGAGCATGAGAGTAACACCATGAAGACCTGGGCCCTCCGTGCAGCAGGCTGGCTGACAATGTTTGTAGGCATCAGCCTAATGACCCGGATTGTTTACACTTTGGGTAGGTTGGTGACAGAAAGCTAAAATGATTTAGAAATAGGATCCTAATCTGTACAGTGTCCTATATTGCTTACATGCGAAATGAATTTATTTGGAGGCCAGGAGGAATCTTGTTTCTTCGATCTTTGGTTGGATTCAGTCTGAAAGTTACTATAAAAATGGTAGGTAAACAGCAGCTCAGCACCATGTGGCTGCTTTGTGAAGATAAACAACCACTTACCTCTCTGCCAGTCACCGAAGCTCCCAGCCCAGTGCTACCCAAAATTAGAAGCCAGAGCACAAGTTGGGCTGGTTCCTTCAAGTCTTGCTCTAGCTTCTGCAGTCCACCCACTTTCTACACACATATACAAGTGGTCTCCCCTCAGCAGATCTTAATTAGTAGTTACATAATAACTTGCCTTTGTATTCTGTGGTACTGTGAGCACTGCAAAGAAAGTTTTGGTTTTTCTCTTTGATTTAGAGGAATGCTGGAATAAAAGCTTACAGAAAAGTAGGATGATGCCTCAAACTTTGAATATCAAAGCTATCAGTTTCTTTGGTATTCTGTGCACTGTTTTTTTTATTGTTATCTGTATTTAGGCAACTGCAAGATCTATTATTGCCAGAAATTGCTTTTAGCCTGCAAATATTCATTGCCGTTAATTTGTTCCATAGCTGCAAGACTAATAGTCTCATAAGCTTTGGATAAGACTTCAGACTTAATTTTGCATGACTTCCTGTCTGAAAATATGAGGATGCTATTGTCTTAGATGTTCAGATGTTACTTATTTATCAAATGCCTTGAGGATGCTCTCCTGAAATCCCTTATCCAGTGCCCTACTTGAGTCTGCCTTTTGATTGCAATAGTTTATTCAAATCCTTGGCATAAGCAAGGAGTCCTTGTAAATGACAATCAACTATTTTATCCCTTGTTTAATTCTTTCTGCAGTGGACTGGTTTCCTGTTGTTCGAGATCTGGTTAACATCGGATTGAAAGCTTTTGCCTTTTGTGTGGCCAGCTCACTCTCACTTCTGACTATCTCCATTGGCTGGCTCTTCTACCGCCCTGTCTGGGCTTTGCTGATTGGATTGCTCTCTGTAGTTCCAATTGTGGTCGCAAAATCCCGTGTTCCACCAAAGAAACATCAGTGAGAAAGAGGTACTCGGGTTCTGCACTATATCCTGGTTAGAAGCTTTTAAAGTGCATTTCTGTTCTGGTTACATTGTTTACGGTACATTGTGCTTCAGCAGTGTGAGCCCAGATTTAGAGAGGGGTTTGAGTGTGACTGTTGATAAATGTGTTGTCTGTGAAAAAGATTACTGTAGAATGCTGCTTGTAGAAATTCACTGACACTGACTTCAGGAAAAAATAACAAAAACATTGGGGAGCATCTGTATCCATTGTAAGTCAGTGTAAAAGTAGCATTTATCTTTCACCTCTTACTAATTCACCCTGATTTGAGAACATTGGCAGGTGGGGCACCTCATGTATTATGGACAAAGTGCCAGCTTCAACGCATGGACTGATGTGAAATCCTTGGGAAATATGTGTGTTTACCTGCCTCTGACAGTCTCTCCTGCTACTTTTTCTCACTTGTACAATCATGTATACTACGTTGGCTGAAATATTTCAAAGTGTTTCCATTGTTAAAGGAAAAACCAACTTTTGATACAATACTTCAGTAACGTGGATGCCTTTGAGCTGAGGATTTTGAAAATAACTTGGAATCTCAAGTGGCCAGGTTAGCAGTGCTCTGAGGCAGGGAAGATATGTCAGAAAGCAATGACTTTCCTCAACTTCTAAAAAGGTCTCTGAAGCTGTTCTTGGTTAAGCACCCAAAATGGTGGAGTTCTATAAAAACACTGAATTGCCCTTATTTAAGGAGATACTCAGAGGTCACTCGCCTTTAATTTTAAAAATAAAACCTGCTGCCTTGAAGTACAATTGATTAACTTCTATATCTGAATACATATTCTTTAAAATATTTGGTGTTTTGCTGTATGTAGTTTGTTTTTTGATTTTTGCTTAGTAACAACGATGAAAATTTTCCATGAAATTAAATAATGAACACATTTTTGCCTGATTAGATTTCACAGACATAGTAGCTTGAATGTTGAGCTTTAAATCATGTTAATACAGCTTCCTGTAGTGTTGCAATGACTCAAGCTTACAGGTTTCTGCTGTAAATAGCTCTTGAGTTGAGGTGATCTTGTAGTGTTCTGAAGTCTCTCTAGATAGCTAGTTTGGCTTCCAGATGTGCCCTACCTACACGTTTTTCCTTCTGTAAGTACAGATAATTCAGTACAAAAATAATGTCTTCAGTGAATACACTTTTTGAAGCAGAATTACAACTGTATTCCCCGTACCAAAGGAAATTTGCTTCTATGTATGTTCAAGTTAATGTTTCCTAAAAATGTTACTGCATTAGTGGTCAGGTTTATAAATCATAAACATTCTGAGATGTAGTAATTTATATTATTAACTTTAATTACCTTTAATTCTTTTCATTCTTGTGATCTCATGTTTTCAATTTCACCATTTCTACTGGTGAAAGCAGCAGTAGCAAGTGAAAGGCAGGGCATGAAGCTGATCTGTGTTAGAGACCTCAGGCAGTCTCTATCTGCTGCTCTGTTTCTCCATGCACTCCACTGGTGAGAAAAACAGAAGTTTTGAACAGCTGTTCTACCAATGATGCAGGAAAATAACCAGCATTACCATATTGGAGATGAAGGTGCAATTTTCTACAGAAGCGCTGAGCTTTTTTATATTTAATAAAATACAATTTTCAGAAGGTTGGTCTGAAGGCTTCTTTTTCATTACCTTTGAGCACTGCATATTTCATGTCCAGGAACAACATGGAGGAACTCTGGATGAACAAGTTTTCCACTGTTTGTGGAGGCAAATGTGCAGTTGGGTTCTGTATAACCTGTAACTTCACAGCTGTTATCTGGTCCATATGCTTGATGATAAGGCTGATTCCAGCCTACCAGTGGTGTTTTTACTCCTCTTCTTTGCTCTTACTACTTAAGAAATAGTACCTTCCTTGCCTCTCAGATGATAGGATCATCTGAGAAGTATGGTCGTTGGACTTGACTGGAATCAACTATTATTTTTTTTTTAAGAGAGAGTGGAGGCTTACTTATGCATTCAGCAGTTTAGAACATTTTCATCTTATATGCTCATCTGCACACAGAAACATGCAAAACTGAAGAACTTAATGTTTCCCAGGGTAGGTATCCAGGTGGAGCAAAAGCTCTCTTTCATTGCATGTACACAAATATTTCTATCAAAACAACTGAAGCAGTATTTTTCTTGCCTGCTTACCACAATCTGACAGAATGTATCTGCCTGTCAATAGCTGTTCCTTTCTGCTTTACTCTCCCTTAAACTATATCTACTCATCTTTTGCACGCTTAGTTTGCGAGAGCTGCCTGAACTCATAACTTCGTGCATCTAAGTACAGTAAGTTAGGAAGTGCTGAGTCACAGCTGAGTGGAACAGCTGCTACCAGCTCCCTTTTGAAGCAAATGAAACAATACCGATGCCAGCTGGACTTGGATCCTTGCAAAGTATTCATAGTGTATCCTGTGTAACTGTGTGACCATTGACACAGAAGGAACTCTCTCCTCTCTAGTCCACTGAAGTTTTACCACTTGATGTGAGATTTTTTTTTCCTTGAAGTCTTCAGTGCAATCATACCTACCCACCAAACTCAATGTTTTTGTTTTAGAAGTCAGTGATACAAACTCAAAAAGATGACCCTTAACATTAATTCTGCAGTATGCTGGGACCTGATTCATGATTTCTAGAAATAGCACTCTTATAATGCTTAGTTGTAAGAGAGAATCCTTATAGGTAAACTGAGCTGCTGCCAGAAGAGACGAGTGATAGCATTAATTAGTTTATTTTGTTCTACAAATACAGTACAAAAATATGTTTTTTTTTTAAGATAGGCTATATATGCAAGAAAATGGCTTTCATTTAACTTTCTCTGTAACAGTATTCAGCAACAAGTAGACTGGATTCACCTCTATTTTTAAAGAGAGGGTGTAATTTCTTTTTAAAAATACAGCAAAAGACAAAACAGTATTTCTGTTGCAAAACTGCCTGCATAGACTTAACATTCATCTCCTAACAGTTTTTAGTTGTTTAGGTACTGGATAACATTTACAAAAGCTGAGTTTCACTGACTTTCACTTCTAACAGTAACACGTGGCCCAGATCTACGTGTTTGGTTCCAGAATAAAACTAAGTAGTCTTGATAAAACAAAACTGAAACAAATGTGTATATTTTTGATTGAGTTAAGATGACATATTTAATCTTAAGTTTGCAATGAAGACAGGGCTTCTTGTTCCTAGTGCACGAGATATCTGAAAGTAAAGGAAGACTGTAGACTGAAAAGCCAAAGTTGAGTTTTCACAAAAGGCACATGTATTCTTTAGAAAGGAAGTTTGCAGGTTCATCCAAGTCTTGATTGCAGGCTGCACTCCACACGAGGTACTGCCCCTCTCTGTGATGCTGAGACTAGAACTCTACTCACTACTGATTTGGATAAGGTATGATTAAAACACCAAAGAGGATGTAGTAGTCTGTTGACTAGCTTACCACAGACTGTTAAATAGCAGCTGCATACTTCAGTTCTGGGCAATCAGGAAAAAAAAATGGTGAGGAGAAAATTGGGAAGAAGCAGTACTAATGGAAGTAGTGCCTCAGAATGCATTTGTTACAGTGTTGAGTGATACAGAGGAGCGCAAAAAAGCCCAGCTGTGTACAGGTGGTGATCTTGGAAAGTACGGCTGCACATCTGCTTCTCCTAAGTTCAAGGATAAACAGATGAATTTTAATTACCCACAACAGCAGAAGAGATTCTTGGTGCTGAATTGGGTTGATTCCCTGATAGCTCTGAAATGCAAATGAACAGAAGACTAAGTCTTTAACTGGCATAGGATACTTTTGTTGTGACAGTTCTGTTCTTGCATTGGGAAAGAGCAAAGAAATGCTTGTACTTATCACAGTTTCTCAAAAGGAAACAACTGTGCTGCTTCTTCCTTCTTTTCTCGCTTGCTTTTTCTGGTTGTCTTCTCTTTCTGCATCTCTGCCTGGCGATTTCGGGGCCAAGAAATTTCCACATCTCCTCCTGCAGTCCCTGAATTTGGGCCTTCTTCATCAGAGGAGAATCCTGCTCCTTTCTCTGTCTCAGGTGCTGATGGCTCAGCCTGGGGAAAAAAAAAACAAAAACCAGGCATGAAAATGGAAAATAATCCTTTCTAAAAAGGCTCATTTTCTATCACGGTGACTCTTAGTGACATTCCAGAAGTTGGATGCTCTGGTTTGGGCTTCTCGCCCAAAGCAGTGCATTTCTATTTCTGGATGTCAAGCACTCTTTCAACAACAAGCTAAGTATTTTTGATCAGAGATGAGTAAAAATAAACTAGCTTTAAAAAGATCATGCTCCTCGCCTTTCTAAGTAAGAAAAAGATTAAGAACTAAACCATCTGATTTCATAAGAAAAGAAAAAAAGTAGCCCACTGACCTTCCTAGCTATATACTTGGCTTGGAGGAAAAGATCCAGGAAGGGAGATATGTCAAAATAGAAGAGCAGTATACAAACAATGATGCTTTGGCAAACACTAGTCTCCTCTTAAGCAATAATTAATCTTTCACGGACATGACTGTGTTGGTTTTCTGGTGTAAGCTTTTTTTAGTTGCTAGTCAAACATTAAGAGGAAAGAGAAAACTTCAGAATGTCATTGCTTAAAAAAAAAAGTCTGTGCTCCTCTGGTAGACAATAACACATTGGAAATACTAGAAAAAAATCTCTTGATACAGAAAATGAAAGCACTAACAGAGATGCAGAATACCTTGATGGAGTAGCGTTGCTTCAGTCTCTCTCTAATGAGAAGTCCTTTAGTTAGCAACTTCCAGTTTCCCAGAGCTCTTTTCTCACGCTTCTGTTTGTTATCATTGAAAAGAAAAAAAAAATACTATTTTAAGTTCCAATGTATTAACACTCACAGAAGATAGAAGTTTAAAGACTTTAAAATGGAATTGAAAAGAAAAAAAGAACCACAACACCACGCACCACCAACTTAAATGTGTCACATTAAAAGATTATAGGCTGGAAGGATTCTTAGGAATAAAGTGTATTGGTGACAACGTATCTGCTAAATATATGAATTACTGTCCTTTCTGATGTGTGTACTGACTGTAAATTACATTGGAGCCTCCCTCAGAAGTTTAACCTCATACATGTATGCTTTACTTTTGTTTCTCAGCAGCTATGGAAAGCTATTCCAAAGTACACTCTATGTCAGAGATTGCTGAACACTTGTTTGCACTGCAGTGCTAAAAGAAAACCCCAAATGAAGCATTCGGGAAATGCAATTTGCCTCTCTCTTCACAGAGCTCTGTCTGTTACATATACAGCCTACCTTTGATTGTTTACAGCTTAAACTGAATTAAGCAGTAATAAGGTGCCTGCAAAAATAATTCTCACCTCCTTCTCCTTCTTTTCTATTTCTGCTTGTTCATTCTCCCAGGCAGCAATGAGCACTTCTTTATATTCTTCACAGACAACATAGCCATCAGTACTAGGAAGGAAAACAGAATCCCCTGTCAGCTACTAGAAGAAAAAAGAAAGGGATCAAATGCCTGACCCCACCAAGCCAAAAGCTGCTGACAGAACGGGCTAGTTGTCTAGTAGGGCGTAAATGTGTAATTTATCACCTATTCCACCCCCCTCCCCAAAGTGCAGACCCTATATATGTGTATAAGGTCACTTCTGCATGCCAGGGCCATTGACTCTACTACCACAGGTAGCACAAAAGAGAAGGATGTGTCCTCCATGGCACAGAGTATACAACTTCTGCATAACATCAACATTCACTGCCTTAAATAAAGCACCTTTACATACACTGCATGTGAGTAGCCACCATGGAAGTCAAATCCAGTGACCGCTTGAGCACAGTCAATGTCCAACTTCCGTGCCAATCTGTTCAGGTTGGGGAGCCTAAGCTGCACACAACCAACAGGTAACATAGAGGGCAGGAAGAGATAGACGTTTCCATATTCATTCCGAGGAACCTGGTATAGCAAAATGAAAGAGAAATGATGACACTCCTGCCTTCCGGAGAGAAGCAAAAATCTCTGCTTCAATTCAAGGTCTCTCCGCTCTTTCTGACCTGCTGCATTCTACTCTGGTATTCTATCAGTATTCATATGACAAGGCACAGGCTAAATTTTAACTGCGTGGTTGTCTCCTAATTATGTTCTCTGACCCGGCCTCGTTACTCTGGCTGTAATGCCGAGAACTAGCAAAACAAAGAGGAAGTTGGAAATTACATAGATTAGAAAATTGGACTTAGGAATAAAAGGCATCGATGAAATTTTCACCGTTCCCTCCTGGGTTTATTTACCTCAGAACTCTTAAGCCTGAATCCAGATATTATTAACTGATCTCACCTTTGAAACGTGCAATTCTCAAAAAATAAAGCCCACAGCTTCCTAAGAAACAGTTCCTTTAACACCAGCCCTCTGCTTTCCTGGCTACCTTTCCATCCACTGCTATGGGTGGCTGATACTCCTCTGTCTGCCAGCGACCGAACAGCGCCAGGTCCGCTTTGTCCCGGTTTGCAGGCTCTGCAAGGCGTGCCTTCCTCGCCTGATTGGAGTAGCCCTTCACCATCTGTGCAAATACAATGATCAAACTTGTAACAGCACAGAAACAAGCTGTTAGGGATTTCAGACTTTCCCAGGATAGCAAAAGAGAAGACTATGGAAAATAAATAATG